AGTAACACAACTGGGTTGGACTGCCATGTGACTCGTTCAGTCTGGTTGATTAGCGACATGACATCGATCGGTAGCACCTCTTTCTTTCTTTTGGACCTCGTTCGATGGACTGACAAGATGATCGATCCGCCATGACACGAGTGGATGGAGGAGGCTGTGGTGGAGGACAGGTGAGCATGGCAAACCCCGTGGGTGTTTGTTTGCGTGACTTTTCGGAGAAGTGTGCGCGCGTGTGCGAAGCCTGTCTAGCTCAGTTGGTAGAGCGCAAGACTCTTAATCTTGTGGTCGTGGGTTCGAGCCCCACGGTGGGCGACTACCAATGATGCGATCGAAACGGATGCAGTCCCGATCTCTTTAGAGCCGCACTTTTTCCGTCTCTTCGTTACAGTGGTTTATCAGCTGGATTGGCTCTAGAACAAGGCGCACCATTCTCGACCACTCGAATCGGGCAGGCTGAGGGTCGGACGTTACCGCGTGTTCGCAATTCAGTCCATACTATCTCTTCTCGGATAGAAACCAATGGGCAGTACCATGGTGATGGAGTAACACAACTGGGTTGGACTGCCATGTGACTCGTTCAGTCTGGTTGATTAGCGACATGACATCGATCGGTAGCACCTCTTTCTTTCTTTTAGGACCTCGTTTGATGGACAGACAAGATGATCGATCCGCCATGACACGAGTGGATGGAGGAGGCTGTGGTGGTGGACAGGTGAGCATGGCAAACCCCGTGGGTGTTTGTTTGCGTGATTTTTCGGAGAAGTGTGCACGCGTGTGCGAAGCCCGTCTAGCTCAGTCGGTAGAGCGCAAGACTCTTAATCTTGTGGTCGTGGGTTCGAGCCCCACGGTGGGCGACTACCAATGATGCGATCGAAACGGATGCAGTCCCGATCTCTTTAGAGCCGCACTTTTTCCGTCTCTTCGTTACAGTGGTTTATCAGCTGGATTGGCTCCAGAACAAGGCGCACCATTCTCGACCACTCGAATCGGGCAGGCTGAGGGTCGGACGTTACCGCGTGTTCGCAATTCAGTCCATACTATCTCTTCTCGGATAGAAACCAATGGGCAGTACCATGGTGATGGAGTAACACAACTGGGTTGGACTGCCATGTGACTCGTTCAGTCTGGTTGATTAGCGACATGACATCGATCGGTAGCACCTCTTTCTTTCTTTAGGACCTCGTTTGATGGACAGACAAGATGATCGATCCGCCATGACACGAGTGGATGGAGGAGGCTGTGGTGGTGGACAGGTGAGCATGGCAAACCCCGTGGGTGTTTGTTTGCGTGATTTTTCGGAGAAGTGTGCACGCGTGTGCGAAGCCCGTCTAGCTCAGTCGGTAGAGCGCAAGACTCTTAATCTTGTGGTCGTGGGTTCGAGCCCCACGGTGGGCGACTACCAATGATGCGATCGAAACGGATGCAGTCCCGATCTCTTTAGAGCCGCACTTTTTCCGTCTCTTCGTTACAGTGGTTTATCAGCTGGATTGGCTCTAGAACAAGGCGCACCATTCTCGACCACTCGAATCGGGCAGGCTGAGGGTCGGACGTTACCGCGTGTTCGCAATTCAGTCCATACTATCTCTTCTCGGATAGAAACCAATGGGCAGTACCATGGTGATGGAGTAACACAACTGGGTTGGACTGCCATGTGACTCGTTCAGTCTGGTTGATTAGCGACATGACATCGATCGGTAGCACCTCTTTCTTTCTTTAGGACCTCGTTTGATGGACAGACAAGACGATTGATCCGCCATGACACGAGTGGATGGAGGAGGCTGTGGTGGTGGCCAGGTGAGCATGGCAAACCCCGTGGGTGTTTGTTTGCGTGATTTTTCGGAGAAGTGTGCACGCGTGTGCGAAGCCCGTCTAGCTCAGTCGGTAGAGCGCAAGACTCTTAATCTTGTGGTCGTGGGTTCGAGCCCCACGGTGGGCGACTACCAATGATGTGATCGAAACGGATGCAGTCCCGATCTCTTTAGAGCCGCACTTTTTCCGTCTCTTCGTTACAGTGGTTTATCAGCTGGATTGGCTCTAGAACAAGGCGCACCATTCTCGACCACTCGAATCGGGCAGGCTGAGGGTCGGACGTTACCGCGTGTTCGCAATTCAGTCCATACTATCTCTTCTCGGATAGAAACCAATGGGCAGTACCATGGTGATGGAGTAACACAACTGGGTTGGACTGCCATGTGACTCGTTCAGTCTGGTTGATTATCGAAATGACATCGATCGGTAGCACCTCTTTCTCTCTTTTGGACCTCGTTCGATGGACTGACAAGATGATCGATCCGCCATGACACGAGTGGATGGAGGTGGCTGTGGTGGTGGCCAGGTGAGCATGGCAAATCCCGTGGGTGTTTGTTTGCGTGATTTTTCGGAGAAGTGTGCACGCGTGTGCGAAGCCCGTCTAGCTCAGTCGGTAGAGCGCAAGACTCTTAATCTTGTGGTCGTGGGTTCGAGCCCCACGGTGGGCGACTACCAATGATGTGATCGAAACGGATGCAGTCCCGATCTCTTTAGAGCCGCACTTTTTCCGTCTCTTCGTTACAGTGGTTTATCAGCTGGATTGGCTCTAGAACAAGGCGCACCATTCTCGACCACTCGAATCGGGCAGGCTGAGGGTCGGACGTTACCGCGTGTTCGCAATCCAGTCCATACTATCTCTTCTCGGATAGAAACCAATGGGCAGTACCATGGTGATGGAGTAACACAACTGGGTTGGACTGCCATGTGACTCGTTCAGTCTGGTTGATTAGCGACATGACATCGATCGGTAGCACCTCTTTCTTTCTTTAGGACCTCGTTTGATGGACAGACAAGATGATCGATCCGCCATGACACGAGTGGATGGAGGAGGCTGTGGTGGTGGACAGGTGAGCATGGCAAACCCCGTGGGTGTTTGTTTGCGTGATTTTTCGGAGAAGTGTGCGCGTGTGCGAAGCCCGTCTAGCTCAGTCGGTAGAGCGCAAGACTCTTAATCTTGTGGTCGTGGGTTCGAGCCCCACGGTGGGCGACTACCAATGATGTGATCGAAACGGATGCAGTCCCGATCTCTTTTAGAGCCGCACTTTTTCCGTCTCTTCGTTACAGTGGTTTATCAGCTGGATTGGCTCTAGAACAAGGCGCACCATTCTCGACCACTCGAATCGGGCAGGCTGAGAGTCGGACGTTACCGCGTGTTCGCAACCCAGTCCATACTATCTCTTCTCGGATAGAAACCAATGGGCAGTACCATGGTGATGGAGTAACACAACTGGGTTGGACTGCCATGTGACTCGTTCAGTCTGGTTGATTAGCGACATGACATCGATCGGTAGCACCTCTTTCTTTCTTTAGGACCTCGTTTGATGGACAGACAAGATGGTCGATCTACCATGACACGAGTGGATGGAGGAGGCTGTGGTGGTGGACAGGTGAGCATGGCAAACCCCGTGGGTGTTTGTTTGCGTGATTTTTCGGAGAAGTGTGCGCGCGTGTGCGAAGCCTGTCTAGCTCAGTTGGTAGAGCGCAAGACTCTTAATCTTGTGGTCGTGGGTTCGAGCCCCACGGTGGGCGACTACCAATGATGTGATCGAAACGGATGCAGTCCCGATCTCTTTTAGAGCCGCACTTTTTCCGTCTCTTCGTTACAGTGGTTTATCAGCTGGATTGGCTCTAGAACAAGGCGCACCATTCTCGACCACTCGAATCGGGCAGGCTGAGGGTCGGACGTTACCGCGTGTTCGCAATCCAGTCCATACTATCTCTTCTCGGATAGAAACCAATGGGCAGTACCATGGTGATGGAGTAACACAACTGGGTTGGACTGCCATGTGACTCGTTCAGTCTGGTTGATTAGCGACATGACATCGATCGGTAGCACCTCTTTCTTTCTTTAGGACCTCGTTTGATGGACAGACAAGATGATCGATCCGCCATGACACGAGTGGATGGAGGAGGCTGTGGTGGTGGACAGGTGAGCATGGCAAACCCCGTGGGTGTTTGTTTGCGTGATTTTTCGGAGAAGTGTGCGCGCGTGTGCGAAGCCTGTCTAGCTCAGTTGGTAGAGCGCAAGACTCTTAATCTTGTGGTCGTGGGTTCGAGCCCCACGGTGGGCGACTACCAATGATGTGATCGAAACGGATGCAGTCCGATCTCTTTAGAGCCGCACTTTTTCCGTCTCTTCGTTACAGTGGTTTATCAGCTGGATTGGCTCCAGAACAAGGCGCACCATTCTCGACCACTCGAATCGGGCAGGCTGAGGGTCGGACGTTACCGCGTGTTCGCAATTCAGTCCATACTATCTCTTCTCGGATAGAAACCAATGGGCAGTACCATGGTGATGGAGTAACACAACTGGGTTGGACTGCCATGTGACTCGTTCAGTCTGGTTGATTAGCGACATGACATCGATCGGTAGCACCTCTTTCTTTCTTTAGGACCTCGTTTGATGGACAGACAAGATGATCGATCCGCCATGACACGAGTGGATGGAGGAGGCTGTGGTGGTGGCCAGGTGAGCATGGCAAACCCCGTGGGTGTTTGTTTGCGTGATTTTTCGGAGAAGTGTGCGCGCGTGTGCGAAGCCTGTCTAGCTCAGTTGGTAGAGCGCAAGACTCTTAATCTTGTGGTCGTGGGTTCGAGCCCCACGGTGGGCGACTACCAATGATGCGATCGAAACGGATGCAGTCCCGATCTCTTTAGAGCCGCACTTTTTCCGTCTCTTCGTTACAGTGGTTTATCAGCTGGATTGGCTCCAGAACAAGGCGCACCATTCTCGACCACTCGAATCGGGCAGGCTGAGGGTCGGACGTTACCGCGTGTTCGCAATTCAGTCCATACTATCTCTTCTCAGATAGAAACCAATGGGCAGTACCATGGTGATGGAGTAACACAACTGGGTTGGACTGCCATGTGACTCGTTCAGTCTGGTTGATTAGCGACATGACATCGATCGGTAGCACCTCTTTCTTTCTTTAGGACCTCGTTTGATGGACAGACAAGACGATCGATCCGCCATGACACGAGTGGATGGAGGAGGCTGTGGTGGTGGACAGGTGAGCATGGCAAACCCCGTGGGTGTTTGTTTGCGTGATTTTTCGGAGAAGTGTGCGCGCGTGTGCGAAGCCCGTCTAGCTCAGTCGGTAGAGCGCAAGACTCTTAATCTTGTGGTCGTGGGTTCGAGCCCCACGGTGGGCGATACCAATGATATGATCGAAACGGATGCAGTCCCGATCTCTTTAGAGCCGCACTTTTTCTGTCTCTTCGTTACAGTGGTTTATCAGCTGGATTGGCTCTAGAACAAGGCGCACCATTCTCGACCACTCGAATCGGGCAGGCTGAGGGTCGGACGTTACCGCGTGTTCGCAATTCAGTCCATACTATCTCTTCTCGGATAGAAACCAATGGGCAGTACCATGGTGATGGAGTAACACAACTGGGTTGGACTGCCATGTGACTCGTTCAGTCTGGTTGATTAGCGACATGACATCGATCGGTAGCGCCTCTTTCTTTCTTTAGGACCTCGTTTGATGGACAGACTAGACGATTGATCCTCCATGACACGAGTGGATGGAGGAGGCTGTGGTGAAGGACAGGTGAGCATGGCAAACCCCGTGGGTGTTTGTTTGCGTGAGTTTTCGGAGAAGTGTGCGCGCGTGTGCGAAGCCTGTCTAGCTCAGTTGGTAGAGCGCAAGACTCTTAATCTTGTGGT